CCTAATGTAGGTCTTTACCCTTCGCCTCACTGAATTATCTCTTTTTTTTTTCTGCCCATTTTTCAGATTAATTTTGGTAGAAATGAGTAGGCCAAAAATTCATCACCAGGAAGTGGACTTGATGGTTTGTCTGCAGGGACCCAAGGCAGAGATCTTTTCCAGCTTTACTGATTCTGGGATTTTGCACATTCCTTTTTCTGGGCTCAGGGCTCAGTGTGGTGGAAGTGTAATCATATGTTATTTTCTTATATGCATTGCAAACTCATGGAAATTTGAAGCAACTCAAAAAAAGCCACAGGTCCTGATTTTTGCCTTCAGGAGGAGCTATTTCTTCAGCATTAGGAGAGCTGTGTTTCAGTGGCTTTGGTGCTGCAGTTTCTTTGCTGAGCTCCCATGCATGTCTCTGCAGCCGTGTCCTGCAGCTGGGTGGGAAACAGAACAGGGGAAAACAATGCAGGGGGACAGCAGGCAGGCAAAAGTTCAAATTTTTTTAGGGGTAAACTCACTTTTAACAAACAGGTAGTGTGTGTTTTTCTGATATGGTGGCTGCCTGTGTGAATGTTAAAAGGGGTTCTCATCCTCCAGATCCAGGCAGGTGGGAATGAAGAAGAAAAAGAGGCAGGAAGATTATTTTCTGACAAACAAACTTATCTCTGATGGGCACTGTAAAAATAAACCCAGTTAAACTGGCATGCTGCTAGCATCACACTCTGCTCTATTGGAAAGTTGCTTTTAGCAACCACAGATCCTTGGTATCCACAAAATCCAAATGAGAAAGCACAAGTTTGTCAGACAGCTTAAATTCATCACAGGGGTGTCAATAAACAGATAAAGCTGAGAACCGTTCTGTCCATGATAATTCTGATTGCTCCAAGTGCAAGCAGGACATCATCACTGCAGATTGTTCTGACCTGGGAACCTTTCTGTGCAACAGAAGGCAGAAGGGGTGGAGGGCAGGGGAAATGAGGAATATCTGTGCCAGGAAAGGCTGCTCTCACCAAGGGAAGGGGCAGTGTGACTTAATGCAGGAAAAGGACGAGGTGACTGCAGTGCCAGTGAAGGGAGGAGGGACCTTCTCCACAGCCAGACACTGAGGAGTGATGCTTTTGTTGGGAGGAGGATGATCCTGCTATCAGGGAGAGGGAGCTGAATCCCCCTCTAGAGGAAGGCCTGGATGTGGAGAAGCAAAAAGCCAGTGGTGCATATGGGATGAGCAAAGTGATTCACATGGGATGGGAACAGTGATTTACATGGGATGAGCACAGTGATTCACATGGGAACAGTGATTCCCATGGGATGAGCACAGTGGCTCACATGGGATGAGCACAGAGATTTACATGGGATGAGCACAGAGATTTATATGGGATAAGCACAGTGGCTCACATGGGATGAGCACAGTGATTCCCATGGGATGAGCACAGAGATTTATATGGGATAAGCACAGTGGCTCACATGGGATGAGCACAGTGATTCCCATGGGATGAGCACAGTGGCTCACATGGGATGGGAACAGTGATTCCCATGGGATGAGCACAGTGATTCCCATGGGATGAGCACAGTGGTTCAGGGAAAATGAGCACCTGGAGGAAGTGTAGCTGAAAAGGACTTGAGGAATAAGGTAATGGATGTTATCTATATGATGAAGGTAGAGGTCATAAACTCATTTGTGTTTTTTGTTCCTGATGAAGACTCCTCTGTGTTCATCCCCTTGTACTGATTCCATTCCCATGGTAACAATCATATCATTTACCCGAACTGGAAGTCAATGCCCTCTTTCATGCAGCCTTGTGATGGCTCTCTACTGCCTCCTGACAGTCTTTTATCCTTGCCTTTTGGAGACTGCTGTCTTGGAGCAGATTATTCAGTTCAGATATTTGTCATTCTTTCCTTTCTGTTCCTGAACAGACAGTCCTTTTGGGGTTTTTTTGTCCTTTGTCATTTGGGAGTTACCAAAATGTCTTTTTTGACTTTCTCAGAAATATCTGCTTGTGTGCTATCAGTTATGAAAATTAATGAAATCATACATACTTAAGAGATTACCAGGAAGCTGGAGGAGAAGGCCTGCCATCTTTTTCTTACAAGAATGTTAACTGCTCAGCAGAGCAGACTGTATTCACAGACGTGACTCCCTCAACTGTGTCACCGATGCTGCAAACCCAGAGATTCTGCTGCCACTGCAGTCCACAAAATTCGTGTGCTACACCAACCCACAGCCCATTTCCCAGCTTATTCCATGCTGCAGGACCAGTAGCCTGGTCTGTGTCGTGCTCCAGGAGGAGTGTAAGCAATGCTGAAATGGTAGAAAATTATTATTTCTTTCTCACAGCCGAGGTGAAATGCATGTGATGAAACTCCCAGAAACTCCCAGAAACTCCCAGAAACTCCCAACTCAGGCATGGTGTTGGATTCCTGAACCCTGGGTTTTTTGAGCTTTCTGTGCTTTCTGGCACTGACCCCCAGCAGAACACTGCTTTGGACCTGAGGCCTTGGAGAAGGCTCCAAATTTGAGTGATGGAGTTAAAATCACGGGTGTGTAGTTAAATAGAAGTGTGTGATTGCACATGGTGAAGGGTTTGGAATATGAGGTTTTCATGATATAGTAATAGGTATGGGACAAGATGGAGGATTTTGGATGTTGTCCCCTTTTCAGTGTTCATCTTCCTTCTTCTTCACAATTTCAGGCAGTAGTTTCTGGTTGGACAGTCAGTGCTGCACTGTGGGTCACAGGAGTTTGGTTATTGGGTCAAAAGTATCAATAATATCGGTGTTAATTCTCTATTGGTCTGTTTAGCTTTAAGAGACCTTGTAACTAGCTAGGTTCATCTCCATTTTGCTCACTTGTAGCTGGTAGCTGGAAGTGCTGCTGAACTCTCTGTACTTTAAATAAGATTTAATAAACAACCAAGCCCAAACACAAGAAAATTCCTCTCCTTCATGTTTTTAATCCTGACTCTGAATGAAGGCAGAAAAAAATGAAGACAAACCATTAATTCAATGATGCAAATGCCACACCTTTACAGAATGGGACACTAAATATCCATGGGGATTGGGAAAAAAAATATCAGCTCAAAATTTCATCTTTAAAATAGAGCAAGAGTGAAGCTCAGACTGAAAAGTGCTCACCCCCCTCCACCTGCAGGGCTGAAGAATTTCCCTCAGTGGCTCCCACAGACTCCTGGTGTGGTGCTGGCACAGAGGCCCAAAGGATGCCAGCTGCTGCCCTGCCCTGTGCCCTGGGCTCTGTGCAGAGGACATGGGATCTCCTCTCACTCCTGGGACACAGCCAGGGCATGGGGAAGCAGGGAAGCCCACGGAGGGTTTGGCAATGAGCAGTGGTTTCACAGGGTGCCCTCCTGCAGGCTGGCTGTATCTCCCTGTGAAAAACGAGCTCCACTTTCCTGGTGGATTTTAAAAGGTTTAATAAAAGACAATAAGAGACAAACAATAAAGCAAAAGGTTATAATGGCTGGGTGCTTGGCATTCAGCCAAGAGCACTCCTGCTGCTTTGGAGACACCCCTTAAATTCATCAGCCCCTTGCATATTCATAGACCCATCATACATTTTTTAACTTTTTTATAAATTATTTTCCATATTTTAAGAACTATTTTACATAGTCACCCCTTGAGTCTGCCTTTTTAGAGCATATGTGTTTCTTGGCTGTGGTTTTAATTTATTTTTCTTATCAGTCTTAATTTGGGTTGTGGTCTTTAATTTCTGCACATGGTAACTGGTATATGTGTAGCAAGTGTCTTCACTGGGTGTTATTCAACCAAGCAGGGTAGTTCACTTACTACAAAGACACTTTATCAGCCTCTGTTACTCCTAAAGAAAACTATATCTTAAAAACCATTTCAACATCACACATACAGTATCCACCCTAATATTTGCAAAAAGCCAATACCATAATATGTATTTATAAAAGCCCTTTGCTGCTGATGGGATTTCTGGATGCTTCACCTGCCTTGGGCTTTAATTCATAATGAAGTTTGGATTTCCAGGTCAGCAAGGCTCAAAGACCCTGCCTGAACCTTTGAGGATTGCACATTAAAACCTTTCTACAGAAGAGTGACATGGGCTTCCCCTGCTGTGTAAAAGTGTGGCACAAAGCAAATCCCAAGAACCCCTTTTCTAAAAAGCAGACTCATCCCATATTTACATCCAAAGACTTTATTCCTTAAATAAAAAAAGAAAGTCACATATCCTTTCTAGTAAAATTTCTCACAGCATTCCAGAGGTGGCTGATGCCATTTTGCATTTACATCTTTGTAATTTTACAGGTTTAATTTTTACAGATCCTCCTTTACAGAGGAATAAAGGGCCAAATGCTGCCTTTAACCCACAGGTTAAAGCAGGAAAGCAGTGCCAGCCCTCCTCCCTCCCAGCCTGGGGGTGTCTGCAGAGGCACCAAACCTGCTTTGAATGAAAAAGTTCCTTTTGCTGAAGGCAGAGTATCACTGGTGCAGCCCAGCAGTCTATACACTCCTAATTCTACTCTGGAACTCCTTTTCAGAATTATTCTCTGATGTTTGGCTGTTCTCTGCAAGCTATATTTAAACAGAACAACAGCTCTCTGAGCCTAATGAACAAAATGGGTTTGCTGTAGCAAAAGCTGTGGATTGCTTTTCAAGTACCATTATTTGTGGTTTTTCAGAGGGGATTCTTTTGGCGTGTTTGTTTGTTTGCTATTAGACAAATGCAGCTGTCATTAAAATAAGTAAAAAATACAGTCCATACCTGCGTTTCACACTAAAAGCATCTTTCTTTTAAACATTATTTAACATTTTTACCATTATTTTTGAAACAAAAATACCTGGAGTTTATCTCTGACTCACAAACCCAGGACTGAACAGTGCCATGCCCTCACCTACACTATTGTGCTCATCTGAGCCACGTTTTCCTGGAGAGGGAGGATGGGATGAGAAAGATTCTGTTGTAATCGATGGAAGTGACCCAAAACATTGGGGAAAATGCCTTGCAAGCAGGTGCTGAAAGAAAGTTATGTACAACAGATGAAAGTTGTAACAGATGGGAATAATGTAATTTTAGCACACATTAATGGCCCTGCTGACCTGGGACTGGTGGCTTCTAAGAGCTGCTACAGGTTTTAAACTTTTTGCTCTGTGTGGAGCTTGTAAATGATCTGGGAGCCATCACCCCAAGCAAAGAGCTGCCTTTCTTTGGGGTTGTAGTGCACGGTGGAGTGGCTGCCCTGGCGTTTCGGGAGCTGCAGCCCTGGCTTCAGGTGAGCCCTGAGAGCACCCAGGACATCATAGACACACTGGATGCGGGAGGAGCCCCCCGAGGGGGAGTTGTAGACCACGTGGAGGGTGTTGCAGGCCATGAAAGCTGCCTCAGCATCCCTGCTGCTGCAGGGGGTGTCCCAGCTGTGCTCCACGGCCATGGCCAAGGCGTTGATTTTGGTGATGACGATGTTCCCCCCGGTCTCCGGCTCTGCGTGCAGAGCCCACAGCCCCTGCTCGTCCACAGCCAGGTCTATTCTGGTCTGGGCAGAGAGCTGGTAGGCAGGAATCCTGCCAGCCCCTGGCAGCAGCATCCGGCCAGCTACTTTTCTTCTCTGGATATTGAACTTGATGATCTCGTTTAAGGAGCCGTGTCTGTGGTAGAAGAGGAAGCCCTGGTAGATGACGTGGCCGGTTCCTTCCCAGGGCAATGGCAGGGGCACCCTGCGAGCCTTCAGTGTCTGGTTGTTTTCCGTGAAAGCCATGATGTTGGCAAATTCCAAAACCACATTATTTACAGAGCCACTTAATAAATAAATCTTGGCGTGCTTTTTGCCAGGATCTTTCATCCAAGAGCCATGCTTTCCTCCAGTCTTCTTAACCACTTTTAGGGACCTGATACCTGCAAGCACATGGTCACAACCTGCAAGGAAATACCCAAAGATAAAAAAAAAAAAAAAAAAAATTAGAATGTCTGTGAATTTTCTAGTTTCCTTTCTTACAATTACTTAGTTTCATTTTAATTCATCTCTAGGGCCAGAGTCAATACATCAGTAAAGGTGTCAGCAGTGTGGCTATGGTAAGTAGTGCTGGAAATAGTTTTATGTGAAGTATTCCTGCTGAGAAAACTGTGGTATCTTCATCTACCTATAAAGTGTTGGGTTTTGTTCTATTACACCAGTGTTGTCCGAAACATTTGGATATTTGTGTGTCTGAGAGGGAGATCCAGGAGCACAGTTAGTGATTTTGTGATTATTCTTGTCTGCCCTTTGACAGGGCTGTAAGTTTTACTTCAAAGAACTGACTTCTGGTTTAAATCAATGCAGTAAAGTAATCAGGTTTATTTCTTGTTGGAAGCAAACAAATTAAAATCCATTATCCACATGTATAGTATTTTTGTTTCAGGACTGGTCTTATCCAGTCTCTTTTTAAAGGTAGTCTCTTTTTAATGCATTTTTAGTATAAATAGAAATAAAACCAGATCAGCATAGCAGAAAACCAAAACACTGGGCACTCTGCAGGGATGTTTCAGACCAGAAAGCACCAAGCCTGTGAGGACTCGGGCACTCAGACTCTGAGATCTTTATCAAGCAGCATCCTTTCCAAGAAAGGGAAAAAAAAAAAAAAAGAACTATTGCAAAGCATATTAACAAGCTTGTTTACCAAAGGCACTCATGAATTACAAGGCACAGCATTTGGAGTTTAAAGAATTGCTTTCAGTGGAGTGCAGCCATTCCAGTCAACAGGACAAACAAAGCTCTAAGGCAGGAAGTTCTGGCAGCAGAAGAAACAGAGAAAGCAAAACCAGCCCCCCCCATTTGGCCTGATATGAACCTATTGAAGTCAGTGGCAAGACTCCAGTTGTCTGTAGAAAGCAATCTTTATGTCATTTGTGTGTGCTGATACCCTCTAATCAAAGCTTTTGGATACTACAATGTGGATATTTTTTTTTTCCTGGGACTCTCCACTCTGGAAATGCCTTCCCTGAGCAAGCCACACCAGCCTTCTCTAAACTAACATTTATTGATTAGACAGATTAAAAAAAAATAATTTAAATTTAAAAATTAAAACTGCTGAAATAAAAAACCCCAGGCAGCCCTAGCAGTGTCTTCCTCTGCAGGGGAAATAACCAGATTTTGTCTAATTGTTATTTTCTGTGGGAACTTGATCCAAACCCAGTAACAAAGGTGGACTTAAAAAACCTCTTTTCTGCTAGATTTTTGAAGTGACTCAGCAAAAATAACCATAGAGTCTGGTTAAGACATGACAGCATGGAAGCAGAGCTGCTATTTTCTAAAGTTGAGGATCTTCCTACCTTTTCTAAGTGCTGTAAAATCTGCACAGGGAATACTTTTGCCATCAAATTCAATGGCAAAAGCATCTGACTAGTACTGACAGTAGAGAATAAATTGAAAATAAAGTTACTGTGAATTGCTACAATAAAGTTAAAGGTAATAATTTCCAACAAGTGAAAATGGAAAGTAATTTTTTCCCTGCTGAAACTCTCAGAAAGATACAATTTTCAAAGTGCCCTAACCACAGTCAATTTAAAAATCCCCATTTTTTTTCCTCTCTGAAAAGATGCCTAATGTTCAAAAGTTCTCTAAATAGAAAACAGAACTATTGATATTCAGAGCACTGAATTGTGGAGGACGAGGAGAGCTCAGAAGCAGAATAGGTGATTGCTTCTGTAAGCACCTGCCTTAATACTGATTTGCTTGAAAAGGAAGAAATTGTAAACCTGTGTGTAAAATTAAATTAGCTTAATTCTACTGAGGTGGAATTGTATAATTGATGATGCTAAAGTTCTTTCACTGACTTTTAAAAAATTACAGTTTGTATTTCTTATTATTTACTCTACATTTCTTCCTACTATGAATAAAAAACGGACTACTTTAATTATGTCTATAATGCATAATTTACATCCACACCACAACTTTTTAAAGGTAAAGATAATGATAAAATGTCATTTGGTTCAACAAAAATATAGATTGTGCATATATTCTTCACGCTGGGTACCATAGCACCTAATTTTCAAATCAGAATTAACTTTGCTTATGGGCAAGCCAGGGTGCTCTGCTCTCTTATTAAAGTCAGAGGAGGGGACAAGGAGAGGAAGGGTGACAGAGCAGGACAGTAAAGCAGATACAAATTGTAGAAGTGAATTATTTTATTAACTCACAAGTTCACTTTTGAGTTGAGGTTTTGACCCTACCTAGTCCAAAAAACAGAGACCACCATTAATTCCTTGGTACAGCTGCAGCACTCAGAGATGTATTTTTCTGGGATTTTGCAAGAGCACACCTTCAGAGGATTTTACCTTGATTTATAATGAAAATTAACTTCCAAAGAATTAATTTGATATGCAGCAGAATTTCTGCAAAGTAAATGTTTGAACTGTATTTTCCATACACCTTTCCTGAATATACATGGGTTTTACAGGACCAGTATTTACACGGCCCAAACCCCCTTCAATAACCTGTGGTATTCACAGGTTATTGAATACAATATTGAATATTGAATTCACAGGTATGTGTGAATACCACAGATGGAAAATGATAACAGATGAAAATCTGTTATCCCTGTATCAGCATGCACACACAGGATTGTTCACACCAGAGTTCTGAAAAAATAAACTGTCCTTACTTGCATTAAGCATGAGTTTGAGCCTGTTCTTTTCTTCCTCCTCCTCCAGCAGCTGCTGTTCCAGCAGGTCCTCGTGCACCTCCACGCAGGCGTTGGAATCCGTGGTGGATCCCAAGTAGTCGATGTCCCTCTGTGCATGCTCAACCCTCATCAGCAAACCCTCCACCTCCCTCTGAACCTCAGCCTTGCCAGAGCTCAGTCCTGCCAGCTGGGACAGCACCCTGGTGGAAAACTCCCGGAATTCCTCCACGTACTCCAGCACGTCTTGGTTGCACTTCTCCAGCCTCTTCTTGGGTGGGAATGTGGGGAGAAAAGACATGGATAGGTGTGGATGTGTCTCACACCTCACTCAGGGCACAAACCACGCTGTTCCCTCCTCCCCAGTGACCCCAACCCACCCATCCCAATCCCAATCCCATCCCAATCCCCATCCCATCCCATCCCATCCCATCCCATCCCATCCCATCCCACTGTGTCTGGGTGTCTGTGGGAGGAAAGCACAAAATTCAAAAGTCTGGACAAAAATCCACGTTTTTAAACTTGGCATGGTTACTGACAGCCAGATACTTTGTTTTGCTGCCTAATGAAAGGAAAGGGCTCTGATGGAAGCAGCCAGGGAGAATTAAGGGCTCATGATCTCTGATGACTTGCTTTCCATAAACTTCCTGGAATTCCTCCAGTAGGACCAAAGTAGTCTCAAAGTTTTCTGAAGGAAATCTATAAACCATGAACATTTCATGGGAACTCACCCCTCCTGACCAAAGCAGAATCTAGTGTGGCTATTTTTCATGCATTTAAAGGTGAAAATGAAAGTACTGAAACACCATATTTGAGGAAGTTTTGTGTTGTTTTTTCTGTGTTGAAAAAAGAACTTTTCCCCCCTCAAATTATTTGCTATGTTAAAAAACAAACAGAAAAAACTCCAAAACAACAACAACAACAACAACAACAACAACAACAAAAATTGAAAAAACACCCAAAAGTGAAAGCCAAAAAGCAATTTCTTTACACCTAAATTCAAATTATCAGTGTTTCCAAAGGTAAGTAATATGGTTTCTCTGGTGCAATGCAGCTGCTTCATAGGTGTCCTGAAAAGAGCAGCTCCTTTGTGGAGATGAGGAATTTGAGCAGAACTTTGGTGGGTTTGCTTTGTGAGCTGGGGTTTCTATGTGCTACCTCCTCTCTCCCACATTGACACAAGACCATAAGTCCCCAGGAAGTTGTTTAATTACTTTCTACAAAACCTTTATTTTAAATGTTTTCAAGTGCTGTCTTCAGTGTCTGCCTCACACTTTGTCCTGTTACTTTTGTGCCCCTTGCACCAAATGCCACAGGTTACCTCATTTTTAATGGGTACCAAAAGAATAGAAATTGCCAGGAGAAGTTACTCCTAGGGTGGCAAAGAAAATGTAAATCTCAGTCTACACAATGGGAAGAGAATATCAAATTAATGCTTTTGTCCCTCCTGTGTTGAGAAGATAAGAATAATGAGGGCTTTGTACAAGAAGGGACTGAAATTAGGCAAGATGGAGCTTCTCTATAAGGCTGCCAATGCCAGCCAGGAGCCAGGGACATGCCAATAATTTAAAATAAACAATATATTATTATAGCACACCAATACTGAAGAGGCATTATGCAGTACTGGTAAAAAAAAAAATAAAAAGAAGCAAGAACTGGTACATTTATATAAGGAATTGAAAGGAATTCAAGGAATTGAAAGGACTGCATTTCAGTCTCCCAGATACCAGAGGTTTATTTAAAGTGCAGATACACTGCTGGTTTGCATGGATGTGTTTTAAACTGCCCTTCCAGGTAGGGATATCTGCACATAGAAAAAATACCTGATACATTTCTATCTCATTGCTAATAAATACTTTTCAGCACTTCTAGTGGTGACAAAATGTTTATACTGCTCCCTAGGATGGTCTGTGACAGTACCATATAAACATTTGCATTTGTAGCTGAATTCACTGACGTCATAAAAAAAAATTCAAATGATAACAGAATAAAAACATGACATTATGAAATTATATCCTGCAACAAATGGTGTGGTAAGTTGGGATCGTTACAGTCACAGTTTTAGCAACGATTTTACCCATTCTTTGGAAAAAGCTGGGAATTTACCCTCCTGGTTTGGTGTGTCATGCAGGCTGCCCCGGGCTGGGAACATCCACACATTTCCAAAGTGTTTTGCTGCAGAAGGACCCGCCAGGCACTTACCTCCAGAGACAGAAAACGCTGGTCAATGTAGCTCAGCAGGGCTGCATCCTGCATCAGGTACTGCCCTGCTGCCATGCTGCTCACCAGCCATGCAGTCAGCAGCAAATGGACTTGCAAGGCTGCCATTGCAAATTTGGCAGGAAAGTCGTGAATCAGCTCAGTGGGAAATCCCAAACGCTGCCAGCCCAAGGTCAAAGGCAATTTACCATCATCTGGAGTGAAAAAAAGCCCTAAAAGTTACTAAAAAGTTAAACATACTGTGGCTGAAAAGATTAAAAGGACTTAAAATGGCTGTTGCATTTCATCATTAAGGAAGTGGCATTCCTTAATGCAGAGGGACTGAATGTGTTTATTTCTAGGAGCCAGATGACTACTTCTCAGTTTGTGATCCTATGATCAATCCCAGATGTTCAGCACTGAGTCACATCGAGCCTGTAGGCCAAATTTTATTAAATACAAATAAAAGTCATTTATTTTCCCCTCCTTCCTCCTCCCATCTGCTTTCCTGTGTGACCAACCCTGCAGTGTGTGCTTGGTGCAAGTCAGAGTGGATTCACAGTGGGTGGAACACAGGCCAGCCCTCCACAGGGAGGTCTGTGCTCAATGTCTGTGCCTGCAAAACCATCTAAAGAAATTGATTTCACTTCCACTATTCAGCCTATTTACAGTAGGACTGGAATTTTATCTCTGGAAACCAGAGATAAAATTATTTTTAAAAAAACCTCCTTCTCCTTTTTCTCTTGATATTGCTTCTCCAGCTGAAATCAATACCCTTGGCACAGCTCTGTGCCAGTTTAGTGGAGCCCATGACGGGCATCTTCTTTTGGAATAATAATTCTACTTAGTCTGACTTCAAAATTAACTATAATTAACTTACATGAGCCTACTGCATTTGAGGCAATTTGTATTTATTTGATTTCATCATTTTCCTGACTGAATGCCTTGTTTGGAAAAACTCATGGCCATGCTAACACTGTATTTGTTAGAAAACCATGTGTTAGAGCTTAGAAAGCTCCCTTTGTATCTGAAGCCAAGCTGGACGCCTCTGTTTCTCAGAATTCTCCGCCTCTTCCCTTTTTCCCCTCCCATTTTTATTTTTCTACAGTTTTTTTTTTTCTCTCCTCACACTTACCATATTTTCTTTTCCTTTCTAACTGCCTCATGTGCAAGCACGTGACTGATTGCAGAATTAAGAGTGTGTGTATCACAGCAGGCAGATTTTTTTCCTCCATGTGTTTGATTTTTGCATGGTAGCTCCGTGTGCTTTGCAGGCAAATTTCACCCAAGTGCACAGATGAGAATTCTGTATTTTAGTATTGCTTTACCCCAAGAGGGGCACACAATTTGCCAGCTCCTGTTTACAGGCACAGTCAGTGATGCAGAGAGTTGAATATTTGATTTTTCAGTCCAATGACATTTCATTTTACTCCAGAGCTCCTTCTTGAGGAGACAGAGAGTAAACACCTTAGGAATTTCCTTGAGTCTGTCCCATGGAATATCTTGACATTGTGTGCTGTCTTCTCTTCCACAAAATAATCAGCTGCAACACTGGGGAAGACCAACACAGGAAAAAAAAATCCCTTTTCTAACCTCCAAGGTGAACCTGGAATCCTTCAGAGTTGTTCTCTGAGTCTCATGTCTGTCCCAGGTAATGACTGGGAGATGAAGATTATGGAATTCATAATTATAAACTTCCTTTCAAGAACACTTATTTAGAAGTCAAGATACAGACAAATAATTTCTTTCCTTTATCTTAAGACGGAGAATATGATCTAAAAGATAAAATATCTTCAACTGCTGTACACCCTGGATAAGCTTAAACGTTCTGCATATGGGGCTAGATCCTGTGAAGTTGCTCAACCATTTCTTAGAATCACCCAGAAGCTTTCAGGGATTTCTACAAATGAGGAATTCCCATGCTTAATAAACCCTGATCTCGTGGTAAATGACAAGGATGGTGCATGGCCAGTGCACAATTCTGGGCAGGCATGCTGCAGCACCTGGTAAAGTCCTGAGCTTTGCTGTTTTTTTACATTTATTTTGCTTTGGTTCTTGTCTATCTTCCACTTCTGTTCAGTCTGTTCAGCCTAGATATATATATACACTTTTTTTTTTCCGCCAGCGACATATTCTCTGCATAATAAACAAACAAACAAACAAACAAACAAATAAATATATATGTCTGATGGTGATTTAAAGCAGGATTGTTTGGCATGCCTGGGCAGACTTTGGTCTCAGTGCACAGGCTATTACACACTAACAGGGCAAAAAGTTTGTTTTTAACTCAAGGAACTCTTTCTCATGACCACTGCTCCCTTGATTTGACAGACCTCTCAAACCTCTAAAGGGGAGCAAGGCTATAAATGTAGGTGGATATTTTTTATTTTCTTTGCACTGTTCTTGTCCTCTCTCTGGCTGAGATGTTATCCTTTGTCAAAGCTGCTTCTTTGCTGCATTTATTCCACCTTTTTTACCATTTGGAGTCTGTTTTGACAGCTGTTAGATATTTTCAAATGAAAAACAGGCATTTTCAGCTCCATCTGTGTTTGTGGTTTTGATTTCAGATGCTGGATGGAGCTTTATGTGTTTTAAAAGCAATGTTGAAATCAGTTCAGAGTGCGTACTTGATTTGGGGGAAAAATGATATTTCCTTCAGATATTATTTCACTCATATGATTGCATTCTATGCTTTGTTGTTTTGGGTTTTTTATAAGTCTGTTTCTTTCTGTCATTTCAGGTGGTAGAACTAGAGACACAATAAATCAGATTCTTTTTCCTCCAGTCCCACTCTGGTGTCTCAGCTCCTCACTGGAATCACAAGACATTTTTCTTTTTGAGTTTTGGGAAGATCCCTGACTCCCTCACCCTTTTCCCCTGGCTTTTCCCGAGCCATGGATGCTGTCCCAGTGCTGTGCCCTGTGTTATTACAGCCCTGAAAACAAGTGAGAAGTCCCCACTCCTGCCACTTAGATCCAAGTAGTGCACAGATACACCAGATTTTACTCCCAAACTACACACTGGCTTAAAACAAGGTTAATTATGTTTTTCATCTTTAGTTAACCTCAGCATGCAAAGCAATAATAGATGAAAAGGAAAAATCAGAGTCTGATTCAGGGCTTTCTACTGATTTTATGCACACCTGCCTCAGAGTAATTGCAGCTCAGCCTGATGCATCAGTGATGTCCCAGTGCTTGTGTGCTCATGTGGGATTTTGTTTGTGATTGCAATTATCTTTTGTTCAGTTTTGTTTTCTTTAGCTGCCTCTTTTGGTAGGTTTTGATGCTGGTGAATCAGACGGATGTTTTATATTAATAATATAGTGTCATGGTTTAGTTCTGTATTTTCTAATTTTGTGAAGACTTGAGTGTGCAGAACCAAGTTCCTTCTTGCTGCTGGCCACTGGCCTAATGCTGAGATCTGGGAGCTTAGAAAATATCTTTGTCACAGTGGGAAAACAACACGGAACTCCAATTCTGTCACTGTAGACTTTTTCTTTTTCTTTTTTTTTCCCTTCAGTTTTATACTTCAGAAAGTGACTCACATTGCTGTAAAAAATTTCTCTAACACGTGAAGTCTGAGCAAAATCCTTACATGGTGCTCAGCTGTAAAAAAAAAAAACAAAAAAACCAGTGTTGGGAGTGCTATCAGCCAGGGATGCAGTGCCAAGGGGAGGACTGGCAGGATTTTGGGACTGGCTCCGTTTATTAGAGGATCAGAGGAATTAGAGGAGTCCACCAGGCGGCTCCCAAGCTCTGGGAATTGAGAGGCAAGCCTGGCTGAACACACAATTCCACAGTTTTGAAGGAGACAAAACCTGCAGAGGGAAGCGTGGTTGGGATGGTGCAGAGCCACAGGGAGGATGGGAAGGCTTCAGGAATGTGGTGTGAGGGGTCTGTGCCTCCCCAACCAGGGAATGCCAGTGCTGCCTGGAAAGGCTGAGCTGGAACAGAGACCAGGCAGAGCAAGAGGGATAAAACAGGGATTTATTGAAAGGAATAAAATCGGGATTTATTGAAAGGAATAAAATCGGGATTTATTGAAAGGATCCACCTTGGGCAGTGCAAGAGCCTGGCTGGGGCCACACCCAAATCAAATCCAAGGTGGATCCTGGTCATGAGTTTTTACACTTTGATAAGTTTTGGTTCATCCACACATTGGGGTCAATTGTCCACCCACAGCCCCAGGCTATGGAGTCTCAGCCCCCCTGCCTTGCCCACTTTCCCTCTCCATTGTTTATGATTTTTGGGTCCCAGTTGTCCTTGATTCTTATCCTATTGCTCCAGCCTGTTCCCATCTTTTCTATAAGCTTTTCTATAAGCCCCCTACAACTACTAAAATAATCCAGAGAACTTCATCTGGACATGGATCATGAAACAGTCTGGCATAAAATCAACTGTGTGCAGTTACTTTGAATGGTCTGTTTGTTTGTTGGTTGCCAAACTCACAATCCCAGTTCTGTTGATCAAAGACAATTAGTAGTAGCTTGGAACTTAAATCTGTACAACCCCAGAACTAAACAAACTTTGAATTATGGGATTCTATATAAACCAATATTAAAGTTTTCACTGCTTTTGGCTTGCTTTCCAGTGTGGAATCCGCTCATGGATATTGTCACTAAAATTCGTTTTGCTTGAATGTTCATGTTCATTAAACCTATTCACAGGAGTGCAGTAGTCGAAATGACATTGCTTTAAATTCAGAGTATTTACAGGAAATGATTATGACACTTGCCCAACTCATTTCAGTTGAGAATGCCTGGTGTGGTTTTTTGGTTATGTTTATTTTTCAAACGGGCCTTTTAGATGTGAGGCATGAATTTTGAAAAGCTGAAAAGATACTTTTTGAACTTTAAATCGCTAGGATGTTATGTTTTCAGGTTTTTTTATTGTTTATATGTATTGTTTTCTTTTTTGGGGGGTGGAGAGGGGTGTGATAGTTACTGGCAAGGTAATATTTAATCATGTAGTATTGTTTCATTTATTGTTGCACTGAAGAAATTCATAACCTGTACTTAAGTGTTGCAAAGAGCCAAGAAGGGCTCTGTACACACCTGGGAAAGCTGTCAAAACTTAGCAAGCAACTCTCCCTCTGAGCTCACTAAATGCCACCAGCTGGTGGAAGAAACAGCTTTAGTGAGGATGAATAATGCAAATATTGGTGGGTCAGTGGCAGGAATGGAGAGGGTTTGCAGCAGGGAGACGTGCTCTGGGACTGCAGCTGGTTCAGGACTCTCTGGTTTCCTTGTTCTCAAACCAGAACTCTTGTTTTCAAACCAGAACTCTTGTTCTCAAACCAGAACTCTTGTTCTCAAACCAGAACTCTTGTTTTCAAACCAGAACTCTTGTTTTCAAACCAGAACTCTTGTTCTCAAACCAGAACTCTGCTCCTGCACTGAGT